TGGCCCTTGTACCTGTGGATGTGTTCCTGTTGGGAAATAAGGTTTTTCCTTTGTTATGTTAATGAAGTCATACCAGTATAGGGTGGGTCCTAAACCTAATCACATCTGAGTTACAAACAGAGCAGAATAGACACAGAGACACACACAGAAGTGGAAGACAGAAACCAAGGAACACTGAGGCTCACCAGTAGACACCAGAAATAAGGAGAGAGGCTTACAGAAGGAACTGATGCGGTCGAGACCCTGATGTGTACTTCTAGCCTCCAGGGCTATGAGAAAATAAATGTCTGTTCTTTCAAGCCACCCACTTGTGGTATTTCCATTACAATAGCACTAGGTAACTAAGACAGCCCCCAAACTGATTGAGGGTATACGCAACCAAAAAACCCAAAAGCTCACTGCTGTCTAGTCGATTCTGACTCATAGCAACCCTATAGGACAGAGTAGAACTGTCCCATAGGGTTTCTAAGGAGCGGCTGGTGGATTCAATCTTTGACCTTTTGGTTAGTAGCCTAATGCTTAACCACTGGGTCACCAGGGCTCCAAAGGTATACACAAAAGAATTTTTTTTTGGGGGGGGTCAAAAGTATGCTTATGTAACCCATCTTAAGCCCACTTAGAAAAATTGGTGTAACAACAAAAATAACTTTCAAATTTAGAGTGTTGAAGGACCACAGACACTCTCCCTTCTAACACCCCCATTTTGAAGATGAGGAGCCTAAGAACCTGAGTTGCCCATGATCTCAGCCGGGCAGCCCTCCCGGCTCCCGGCCAGACTCTTACCACCATACCATCACTACCACCTCTCAAGACGTCAGTCCGCTTAGAAATTGTCTCATGGAAATTTTTTTTTTCATGTGCACATTAACGATAGAATTTTTATGAAGCAGAGATATGACATTGAAAAACATAAGAATTCCCAAACTGTCATAAACAGATACTCCGATCTGTACCCGTTCTCCACATTATTTATGCACATTGTTAAAATAATCAAAACCCAATGAAATGTGAACATAAAGTTTATTCTGAGCAGTTATTCTATATGTATGTAGGGAGACCATTTGATTCCAGAAAAAGCAAGTGGCTCATAGAAGCTAGGTGCAATGAGGCTTATAAAGAAGAAGGAGAAATAAAGAAGATCAATCATTGGCTAATCTTAAGGTGATTGATGGCACCCTGACTTCCCCCTTTTACTGAGATCAGCTGGTATCAGGTCACAAGATGGTCTCTGCCCTCCACCCAGCCAGATCTTTTGAAATTCAAATTCAGCAAGCTGGGCTTCCAACAGGAAAGAAAGGATTTGCAATTTGGAGTGAAAGAAATGCCCGTTTGTGGATTAATTTTGGTCAGGAATTTCTTTAAAGTGAGTATTTGTTTTCGTGGGTAAGAAAATGTCCAAATCAAAGCAAGATATCTGCTACCAGTTTCTGTCTTTGACACCATGTACAGAAATCCCAAAGTGCATTCTACCTTGCCATTCCCTGACCAGATAGAATGAAGCCACAATGCTACAACACTGAACAGAGAAAGAGCGTGGATAGTTGGCATTTGCAGTCACTGTCTGGCTGAATTAAGGAAGAAAAAAGGTTTAATTTATTTGCATTGAGTTTTTATATGTTGATCCAGTGTAAGCCTTCTTGGCATTTTTGGAGGGCCTCAGAATTGTCAAGGGAATTTTAAAAAATTCCGCTTAAAACCAATGTACTGAGATAAATTCACCAATATTCAGTAAGAGCCAGTGGTTAAAATAGAAACATATGTCTAGCCACGACCCCTTCCTTTTATTCCTGCTTGGAGGGAAAGTATCCCGTGATTTGGACTGTCAGTTTGATAGCTTTCAACTTTCCACAGGAATTGGCGTTTACTGAAAATGATGCTAAATAATTATTATCCAATTCACTCTATCAGGTTTCCAAACTATTTTAAATGTTCTAAAAGAATACTTGATAGCAAGAATATTTGACTAAAAACAACCACTTTTGGAGGGGAGTATCAAATTATAACATGTTCTAAAATTTGATTGTTCTCCCTCAAAATGTACAATGATTTCAGCCGTGTTTGTTTATTTTACAGAAATTCAATCACCTAACTGATATCTTATGGTCTGATTGTAACATGATTTTAATAGCATACTGGGAAAGTAAGTTCCAGAAAGCAGTGTCTCCTTTCACTCAGGAACGGTGAGCTATGCCCGTTTCAAGAGTGAGAATGTTATTGGTAATGTTATGCATTTGTTGTAAAGAGCCAGCACTCCCACCCAGTCTTTCTGTCATTCTCTCATCTAACTGATCCCAGAAAGGTAAGAGTCTGATGTTGGGAGGCGGTTCTCCAAGGGTTGCTTGTGTTTCCGCCCATCTTCTATGCAGAGGCATTGACAGCTTTTGTTCTGGAGTATCTTTTTCAAGGATGGTTGTATAGCGAACAGCCTGGGAGGATAGAGATAGTGACTTCCTTGCAGGGGGCAAATTTGTTTCCTGACCAGGTGTCTTAATTTTCTAAGGCTGCTGTAACAAACATACGACAAGGTGGGTGGCTATAGAGAACAGAAATTTATTGTCTCACAGTTTGGGAGGCTAGAAGTCTAAATCATGGCATGGGTTCTGGGTAGGGGCCTTCCTTGTCAGTAGCCCTGGGAGTTCCTTGGCCTTCCTTGGCACCTGTCTTCCTCCTGTGTGTCTCTGTGTCTATTCTGCTCTTTTTATAAGACATCACTTAGAAGTGATTAGGTTTAGGACCCATCCTACTTTGGTATGACCTCAGAAGGAATAGCGGGTAGCGGCTTTTACACAGAAGTAGAGAAATAAGAATTTATGAACAAGAGTGAAACAAGGAAGACACCACCCTCAACGCCAGACTGGGCCAGGTGTGAAGTGTGGGAAGATGAGCTGCTTTCGTTGGATAAGGCTGCAGGGGACAGTTGTCCCCAGGAGAGAGCCTGTTTTCATCTAAGGTTGAGAGATGAAGTATGACATCTGTGGCATGGATAAAGATGGAGGAGGGTAGGGTTATCAGACAATGGAGTCTGTGTGAGGGGGCAGAAACAGTGGGAGCCTGTGTCAGGAGGAGGAAGCCCTCCTGACACACAGTGGAATACTATGCAATGATAAAGAACAACGATGAAGCCATGAAACATGACATGGAGGAAGCTGGAGATCATTATGCTGTGAGAATTTAGTCAGTCACAGGAGGACAAATATTGTATAAGAGCACTATTATAAGAACTCAAGAAAAGGTTTAAACACAGAAGAAAACATTCTTTGATGTTCACAAGGGTGAGGAGGGAGGGAGAGGGTTATTTACTAACTAGATAGTAGATAAGAATTATCTTACGTAAAGGGAAGGACAGCGCACACTACAGGGGAAGTCAGCACAACTGGACTAAACCAAAGCTAAGAAGTTTCCTGAATACAATCAAACACTTTGAGGGACAGAGTAGCAGGGGTGGAGGTCTGGGGACCATGCTTTCAGGGGACATCTATGTCAATTTGCATAACAAAGTTTATTAAGTAAATGTTGTGCATCCTACTTTGGTGAGCGGCATCTGGGGTCTTAAAAGCTTGCAAGCAGCCATCTTAGATGCATCAATTGGTCCCAACCCACCTGGAGTAAAAGAGAATGAAGAACACCAAAGTCACAAGGAAAGTATTAGCCCAAGAGACAGAAAGGGCCACATAAACCAGAGACTGCATCAGCCTGAGACCAGAAGAACTAGATGGGGCCCGGCTGCCACCAATGACTGCCCTGACAGGGAACACAACAGAGAGTCCCTGATGGAGCAGGAGAAAGGTGGGGTGCAGAACTCAAATTCTAGTAAAAAGACCAGACTTAATGGTCTGACTGAGACTGGAGGAACCCCAGAAAGCATGGCCCCTGGATTCTCTATCAGCCCAGAACTGAAACAATTCCCGAGGCCAACTCTTCAGACAGGAATTGGACTGGACTGTGGCACATAAAGTGATACTCGTGAGGACTGTGCCTCTTAGCTCAAGCAGATACAAGAGGCTAAACGGGCAGCTTCTGTCCGGAGGTGAGATGGGAAGGCAGAGAGGGTTAGGAGCTGGTTGAATGGACATGGGGAATTGGGGGTAGAAAGGAGAAGTGTGCTGTCACAGTATGGGGAGAGCAATTAGGGCCACATAACAATGTATGTATACATTTTTGTATGGGAGACTAACTTGAAATGTAAACTTCACTTAAACTACAACAATTAAAAAAAAACCCTATGGAGCACCGTTCTACTCTGACACACATGGGGTCATCATGAGTCAGAATTGACTTGAAGGCAGCTGCTTTGGTTTGGTACCTGCTAATTTAGTTTTAGGTAGTTCTCTCAGGCCTTGAGTTCAACAGCTTATGCTCATTTGCATTGCAGTTGTGAGGTCTAATTAATCAGTCATGTTTTCCCATAATAGGAAATAATTTTTTTTAAAGAATATTAAGTGTGTCCATACACAAAAGAACAAAAACCACATTTGCCCCCAAAGCAGATAATCATACACAATTAAACATCACGTAAACAACATATTTTCTTACTGAGAAAAATTTAAACCACGACACAGGATGAGTATTTGGATATTATTGTGACAAAGAATTTAAATATACAGACTTGACTATGAAAGGTCAGGCTAAGTTTCCAAGTAGTGCCGTAAAAAAATCAAACAGTTAAACATTTCTTTGTGCTTTTTTTTTTTGTAATTCTGAAATCATTGCATAGAGAAGTTCATCAACTCATGTAGATAAATCAGATATATGGGCGGGGGAGCTCAGCTGGCATGTCCACATTTAATAAATTCAGAAATGAACGAGAAGACACGGTGGCACTATATTTAAAGCACATACTGGCACATCTTATATGAGAAAGGCATTTTACAATTTCTCTTGGCGTGTTTCCGCTTTTCGGTTTGTATTTCTAAATGGGGGGTTCTGTGATATGATATCAAAAAACAGAGAACTGACATAAAAAGGCAAATACGTAAAAATATAAAGGGCACCAGTAACATTCAACCGTCCACAGATAGAAGGCCGTCTGGACATAAGCCTGAAACCAGTAAGACACCATCCACTGCAATTTCGCCGGTTTTGCCCTTGCCGCGTTCTGCTTCAAAAATTATCTAACATAGAAAGAAAGTACAAAAAGACATTACTTCAGAGTATTCAAAACAATGATATAATCAAAAGATTTAATAGCGATTTAAGAGGACAAAACTCATGTGTTCCTATTGCATGTTGTTAGCTGCCTCTGAGTTGGCCCCCAACTCATGGAGACCCCATGTGTTACAGACAAAGCTTCCAACAAGTTGCATTTCTAACAAGTTCCCAGGAAGTTATACATAAGAATCACCTGGGGATCTTGTTAAATGTAGATTGCGATTCAGTATATCTGAGGTGGAAATGCAAATTCTCAGCAGGGAACTTGTAAGAAATGCACATTCTCAGCAGGGGTTTCAACTGGTTACAGAGTAGAAGTGCTCCATGGCATTTTCTTGGCTGTAATCTTTACAGAAGTAGATTGCCAGGCCTTCCATGGTGCTGCTGGGTGGGTTTGAACTGCCAACCTTTAGATTAGCAGCTGATTGCAAACTGCCTGCGCCACCTGGGTTCCCTCCTATTGCATAGGCAGAGGTGTCTACGTTGAATATACGTGCAGTAAGATCATGCTTTCCAGATGCCAGGTGTCCAAACCAAGGAATTACGCTCCGAGAAACATGATCATTGAAGCACCTAAAGGAGTCTCGAGCCCCGTAGACTGTACGAATCTCCAGCCTGTTGCCTGACCTACAGATTTTGGACTTGCCAGCCCCTACAATTGTATGAATCAATTCCTTAAAATCTCATTTTTTCTCTCTCTCTCGCTATATAGATATACATGTGTGTAATATTTATCGTACTGGTTCTGTTTCTCTACAGAACCCTGACTAAGACATCTGGAACACAAATTTTAGAGAGAAAAGAGTATTTAATTTGGAACATTTTATTATTCTTCTATAAAATGACACACATATATTCCATTAAAGTGGGATTGAACAATAGCATATGCATACTGTGGTTATAAATAGATTAAAAGTATGTATTTATGTGGAAAGTAAAAAGCAAAATATGAAAGCACCCATGTTACTGTGGTACGATTATGAATTTTTACTTTTTTAATATAGTAATTTCATTTTGTCTTTTCAAAACTTTTTTGGTAAATTCAAGCATATAGCAAATTGGCATTTTAAAGAAAGATCTATTAAGAATCATGCTTATAACAATGCCATCATGTAACCATTCACCATCCCCAACAGCATCTCTTTTTTGCTTCATAAATAGTTACAGATTAGTTTTCAAGGCCGCAGAGTTGAAACCACTTCAGGCTTGCTGTCATCACTGTATCCAGCTTTCTCTGGTTCTCCAAAGGGAAGCCACCACTGTCTGTCAGTTTGTCATACTGGGGTGGCTTACATTTTGCTGTGATGCTGGAAGCGATGCCACTGGTATTTCAAATACCAGCAGGGTCACCCATGGTGGACAGGTTTCAGCAGAGCTTGCAGACCAAGACAGACTAGGAAGAAAGGCCTGGGAATCTACCTCTGAAAATCAGCTAATGAAAACCCTATGGATCACAACAGAACATTGTCCGATATAGTGCTAGAAGATGAGCCCCTGAGGCTGGAAGGCTCTACGCAATAGCTACAACAGTAGACTCAAACATACCTACGATCATGAAGATGGCACAGGACCGAGCAGCATTCTGTTATATATAAGGTCGCCATGAGTCGGAGTTGACTCCACGGCAATTAACAACAACAACCAAAGGGGAGAGGGAGAATCTCAGAGGGACACGTGAGGGTGAAGAGAGCCTGTGACTACCCACTCCGCAGGCTGCTACATTTTGCTTTTAAGCTCCCCGTGATCATTTTTCTGGACAACTGTTGGAGAGAAGCTCTCACTGAGCAGTGAGTGATAACACAACTGAGTATAGAAGTTTTTTAATCGACTCAATGGCAACAGGTTTGGTTTTTGATTTCTCTCTTTTTAGGAGGGAACTGCTTTCAGAAGATGTTACTTCTGGGTAATTTAAAAAGGTAATGGTGAGCCAAAAAGTAGCCCTTTTATAGCAGCTGCAATGGGAGGGATAGTGAGGAGTGGGCATGGGTGCATCTAGCTCTTGGGATATGGAAAGATCTCCATCATTAAAATCTCTGAATGATACTAACAGGGTGACTAAAATGAAGTGGAAGGATAATTAATTGATACATTAATTTGTGTGTGTTTTTTCACTGTATTTTTCCCTAACTTGGTACAAAAAAATTGAGCAGACATTTTATGTTCCCTTTTATCAAGGAAACTTGGGGATATAATGATCAAAAGTAGAATTTTCTGGATGGCAATCCCCTTCCTGATGTCTGTGCCCTGCAAGCTTACCCTCCGTGAGGGGATTGTGCTAGTAGAAGGTGGAGAAGTGCCTGTGAGTGATAGAAGCAGAAGCAGTGAACGGAGAAGTGAGATTCTCCAGGACTAGGAAGCTGTACCACCGGTCTCCCTGAGAGGGCCCTGGAAGGGCAATGGCTGCCTTGAGGTTGATTTTCAACAAGACTCCAGCCTCAGTAAAGGTTTCTGTGTCCCAGCCTAGCACGGAAGTTGAAGAGATGAGTGACTTTGCATAGGTACAGACAATGTGGGTATCGGTGGCTACCACGATGAAATGAAGATGCTTTGCGCCACTCTTAATAACTGCCACTTTAGCCTTCCAGAAGCTCAGGCTATTCTAGGGAGGGGCTCATCCCCACAATTCTAGGTGGCCAAATAGCTGAGAATGAACTTCTCCCCAGCCTAGTAGAATGGGGCTTTGGATTCAGAGGTGAGTTGATTTAGAGAAAGAAATGTGACTTATCTTGTATGCCTGAGTTTATGGAATGTCACTCACATCTGCTACAAATATCCACGGCCACTATTACATTGATAAACTGGAAGATGTGCTTTAGTCTGGATTATTCAGCATCTCCACCCTCCAGCATCCCCATCAACATTTCCCCAAGTACTGGAAAAGTTCAGGGCATACGCACTTGCATCAGGCCCCTGCTGGGTCTGGCCATCCCTCCTAACATAGCAGTGTTGTGTTACAGTGTGATTGCCGACCAGGATGTTTGGGGGTATGTTTTCAAAAACATGCATTTTTTTAAAAAGCACTGTTTTGATGGCTTATGCCCTAATACTGCCACCACCAACCTACCACGTTCTGTAAAAAATATTTCCCCAGCACATAACTTCAATCAATATGGAGGTAATTTTGAATGTTGTGCAGAGGCATATTTCAATTCTCCATCAGGGGATGTCATCCATATATAGCATGACTCAGTCCCATGGTCCCCAAACCATGCTTCAAATACAACAGTGTAAACATGTGGATTGCATTTGTATTGATTCAAATGCACTGCAGTGGGAATATACTAGAATTAATGTGTATGTATCAGAGCTAAGTAAGCACTGGCTGTTTTTACCATAGAGGGAAAGAATGGTTCGGCATTTCATTAACTAGAGCCCAACTTATACTTTTATTTATAGCCATGTCTTATGGTGTATTTTAAATAAGATGTTCTGCTTTGATGAAGGTGTGACAAGTAAATGAAAAAATGTTATTAACATCTGACACTAGGGTCTAGGCTTTCTGGCCTGTTCACCTAGTACCAAGAAATAGGATCAAACAGAGTATAAATGGAATCCCAATTCAATGACTTACTAATTGTTCTTCCATCTTGTTATCGTTAGCTGGTACTCAGCTTTTCGTGTGTCTCCTTATAGTGTTCACCCTGTCTTTTCCCTTCCTACCCTGACACAACTTTTCACAAGGGTCCACAGTGGCTGCCTCCACAGCTCTGCTCCCTTCCCTCCTTGGTGCTCTGCAATGTGGCTTTTGCCCCTTCTTCTTCCAAAGAAATGACTCCTTCAGAGGTCACCAGCTACTTCCTGATGCTCAAATTTGATAGACTTTGCAGTTTGTATCTTATTTGTTCTTTCTGAGCATTTGATCCCATTGACCAGGTTCCTCTTAAAACTCTTTGTTCCTGTTTCCTTCATTAAGCCTACTTTGCACTAAAGGATTAACTCAGCAGGTCTAAGTTGTCCAAATCCTGTACATTCTAAAGAAAGGACTGGCTCTTAAGTGGCTCCTGGGGATAACCTCTAAGCCCTTGGAATAGCCTGCCTGATAAGAGTGTCTTTGTTTATCTGAGGCCTTGGGCCACGCCAGATAGTTTATGCTAACAATGTGATTTATAGCGGGGGGAGGGGGGGGGGTTGGACCACATGGTCTAAATGACCTACAGCCAACAAAAACCCTGGACACCAAGGCTCAGGTGAGCCTCTCTGGTTGGCAGTACTCCTTGTGTGTTGTTGCACATTGTTGCTGGGAGCATTAAGAGCTGTCCACACAACTGCACTGGGAGAAGACAGCTGGAAGCTTGTACTTGCTCTCTCCTGTACTTTGTACTATGTGCCTTTTCCCTTTGCTGATTTTAATCTGTATCCTTTCACTGTAATAAACTGTAATTATGAGTATAACAGCTTTTCTGAGTTCTTGGAGTCCTTCTAGCGAATCACTGAACTTGAGGGTGATCTTGGGGACACCCGACAACACAGTTCAGTTCAAAAACATTTTAAAAATCACCTAGCTGCCATGCATTGTGGTAAGTGCTAGACATAAGACAAATGAGCAAACTGTTCCTTTATAGATTAAGGAATTTATAGCCTGCTTTGGGGAAAAGTTGGTGAGAGGAGCCTGACACACAAACAGATCATTTCCAAAGAATGTGGTATGTGCCCAACAAGTATTATCATTAGTTGTGCTGGTTAATTACCTTGCCTACCTCACTTCAGAACGTAAGCTCTTTAAGTGTAGGGAAGAAGCCTTATTCATGTTTGTATCCCCGGTGCCTAGGCACTTCAATAAGTGTTTGTGTGTGTTAAAGGAGCCCTGGTGGTGCAGTGGTTAAAGCCCTTGGCTGCTAACCGAAAGGTTGGTGGTTCGAACCCACCAGCCACTCCATGGGAGAAGGATGTGGCAGTCTGCTTCCGTAAAGATTGCAGCCTTGGAAACGCTGTGAGGCAGTTCCACTCTGTCCTATAGGGTTGCTATGAGTTGGAATGAACTCGACAGCAGTGGGTTTGGGTTGGGTGTGTGTTCAATCATTAAAAAGGAATGTAAATATCTAGTTATATCATTTTTGCCTCTTACACTTTTGGTAGTATCCGTCCCTTGATACAACTGAATTTTCCCCGTCTTCCACTTTTCATCTTCACTCTTGGTCTCCTCCCATGCCAGGACGTTGTTACTGTTTTTCACAAATACTCGAAGCTTCCCCACTTTGTCTCCGGCCAGCCGGTAATCAAAGAGCAAACAGAAGTTGCTTTGGGGTTGCAGGTTGGGAAGGAGAAGTTTCAATCGGCCAATGTCCTTCTTGTGCCCCACCAGGGCCGGAACCGCCATGTAATAGCCAACAGCTTTAAGAGAAGAAAATGCACAGTCACTGAGGTCATTGGAAAGGGTTTGGCTATAATATAGAAAATAGCTATAAAAATGAACCATGGTCTCCTAGAGGGAAAACTGAAGTCCTTTTCATTTTGAACATAGGAAAAACAGTTTTGTGCCAAAATGGATTTTAGAGATCATACGGTTGAAATCCTTTGTTGTATAGAGAGAAAATGAGGAATTTGTCCATGTTCACAAAGTTCGGTAGTGGCCAATACAGAGGAAGAATCTAATTAAAACATCCTTTAGTACTGCTGGTAATTTCCAAATGACGGAGATCTTGTATTCCAGAGGTTCATTTCCTCCTTGGTTGTCTGAACCTTGGAGTGCATTTTTCCACTGAGTCCATGATATGTATGATGGCTAGGGGTCGGTCCATAGTATGGTATTTAATCTACACACACCTGCATTTGTTCTGATGGTTTTATAGAGCTCAACCACCATATGTAACGTATCACTCCAAATGACAGTTTAGGGTGACAGGAACACATCTGCATCTACTCCTGACATCTAAGTATCTTAACCCGTGGTACTGGGCTTTTGCTCACCTCCAGTCTTCTGGTTTTTGCTTTGATGAACTCGGACAAAGACTCTAGCAGAGCGGAGTCTGAAGAAGTTGATAAGACGGAAAAATTTCTATAGAGACTGGGAGAAAGACAGTGGGGAGGGATGGTCTTCTGCTAGTGCAATCACCACAGGCACTTGCAAGACCTGGGTTGACATTGCCTTAGTTTTCACTGGACCCAGAGACTGTCCTATCTTCTTCCCCAACTCACAGAGTTATCAGATTCAGCAAAACAGATAGAGGATGCCCAGTTAAATTTGAATTTCAGATAAACAACATGTCCCAGATATACTAAAAAAGTATTTGTTGTTTGTCTGAAATTTAAATTTAATTTTACACTTTAGTTTATCTGGCAAGCCTACCAGCTAGGAATACTTTCTTCTTCTCTTACCCACTGTGGCAGCTTTCCCCTTGTCTCCTGACTAAAGCCCACTTTGACCTGTCCTTGAGGTTTTATCCCTCTAACATTGCTGATTCATCCCACATTTCCTTTTTATATTTAACTCTGTCGGCAAAGACAAACCTTCAGAACTTGGAGTGGTATGTTACACGTGGTGGTTGGGCTCCATGAAACCATTAGTACAAATGCAGCATGTGTGGATTAAATACCATACTGTGGACTGACTCAGTGGAAAAATACATTCCAACTTTCAAACAACCAAGGTAGAAATGGACTTCTGGAACACAAGCTCTCCGTCAGTTAGAAATTACCTGCACTAGAGATCTATGGAGCCCTGGTGGCACAGTGGTTAAGAGCTATGGCTGCTAACCAAAAGATCGGCAGTTCAAGTCTACCATCTGCTCCTTGGAAACTCTGTGGGGCAGTTCTACTCTGTCCTATAAAGTCGTTATGAGTTGGAATTGACTTGATGGCAACGGGTTTGGTTTTTGGTTTAGAGATCTATAGGATCACTATGAGTTGGAATCAACTCAACAGCACACAACAACAGAGATCTGGTGGTGGCAGTAGGAGAGGGGTACGATTTGAGTGATGCAGGTACTGAGGACCCTGGGACCATTTGTGAATTGAGTGTTTGTAAATAGGGAACTTCCCATTGATGGAAAACCCAGCATAAGTCATTGCTGACTGTGTGAGCTGTCAAGATCCTGGAATTACCTATTGGGCTCTGTCATGGATTGAATTATGTCCCCCCAGAAATGTGTGTATCAGTTTGGCTGGGCCATGATTCCTGGTATTGTGTGATTTTCCTATATGTTGCAAATCCTGCCTCTATGATGTTAATGAGGGAGGATGGGTGGCAGTTGTGTTAGTAAGGCAGGACTCAATCTACAAGATTGGACTGTGTCCTGAGGCAATCTCTTGAGGTATAAAAGAGAGAAGCCAGCAGAGAGATAGGGAGACCTCATACCATCAAGAAAGCAGTGCCAGAAGCAGAGCACGTCCTTTGGACCTGGGGTCCCTGCACGGAGAAGCTCCTAGTCCTGGGGAACATTGATGAGAGAGAAACCTTCCCCTGGAGCTGACGCCCTAAATTTGGACTTTTAGCCTACTTGACTGTGAAGAAATAAACTTCTCTTTGTTAAAGCCATCCACTTGTGGTATTTCTGTTGTAGCAACACTAGATGACTAAGACAGGCTCCCAGTGTGATATAGCTCTGTTAGACCTAAATATGGAGATGCGACAACAGAAGAACGGAAGAAAGGAGAAACTCAGGTTAGTTATCAACAAGATAGCTTCTCCAAAGATGTATTGTCTCCGAACTGGTTAAACTTGCCCTGTACTTGCTCTGAATTTTTAGCAGTTGTCTCGCCCACAAGACTTGCTGTGCAAGATGTGCCCTCTCTACCTTAATTCCAAGTTCTAAAAGGAATTCTTATGAGGGGATACCCAGTTTTTCTCATTGCATGTGAGAGCGTGAAAGGAAATATTTCAGGGAGGAATTAGTCAGAGGCAGGATGTAGAAGAAGAATCTTTTAACTGAGGTTTGAGCCTTTATGGAGCCCTGGTGGCATAGTGGTTAAGAGCTTGGTTGCTAACCAAAAGGTCAGCAGTTCAAGTCCACCAGCTGCTCCTTGGAAACCCTATGGGGCAGTTCTACTCTGTCCTATAAGGTTGCTATGAGTTAGAATTGACTCAGTGGCAATGGGTTTGGTTTCTGGTTTGATTTTGAGCCTGTACACTCCCAATAAATAATTTTATTGGTAAGGGACTGGAGTCCCTGAAGGTTTAACAGTTGTCCCTATTTATGTGATCAGCCCTCAGGAGATAGGAATTGGATTTACACTCCAAATGGGATCTCCAAGCCAATCGTTCTACCTAGGGGGAAACTTCAAAAAAAACCCAAACCTCATAGGGATGTGACTCATAGCCACCCTATAGGACAGAGGAGAACTGCCCCATAGGGTTTCTAAGGCCATAATCTTTACGGAAGCAGACTGCCACATCTTTCTCCTGCTGAGCAGCTAGTGGGTTCAAACACTGACCTTTTGGTTAGCAGCTGAGTGCTTAGCGACTATGCCACCAATGCTCCTGGGGGAAAACGCCGTCCCATTAATAGTGTTCAAGTAGGCAGTAGAAAGGGCTTGAAATCTGCAGCCCAGAGCTGAGGTTGAGAAAATGAAAGGTAAGGTGGCCTGAAGGCAATCCTCAAGCAATAGAAGGGAAAACTCCTTCCAAGAGTTCAGGTCAGTGACTTGAGTCTCTCTATGGTTTTGATGCTCTGAGGGGTGACTCTACTCCAACTCCAGGTATAGGTGAAGGTCATAGCTCCTTTCAAGATTTATTTCCGCCAAACAACAAAATGAAAACTACAGAACATCATGGCTGATAAACTGGGAAAAAGAAGAAACTTCTTTCTTCCTTTTCCCCAACACTTCCAAACCTTACAAGCATTCCAACACCTCTTTCTCAGCAGCAGAAGAGTGAATATGGAAGAAGTTTACTGGAGCACGCTTTATGGGGATAGGTGGCTGGGAGAGGAGAATATATGCTGAACCAAGTTAGTCATCCATGGGGGAGATATTGGAAGGTGTAAAGGTTTCCAAAGATGCCAAGCAACCCTGACCTAACCAGTGACAAGAATAATCACCCTCTATCATTGGAGAACCTTCTTTACCTTCACCATATTGCAGAATATGAAATAACTGAAATCGAAATACCATTATCTCGATCAGCAGGATGCCAGTCAAAATCATCTTCTATATCCTGTTTCCAGTTACAGACCCCGTGATCAAAGCTGCAGTCAGCTGAGATATTTAAATCTGCCAAGAAAAAGAGTGTATTCATAACCATTAAGAGCATCAGAAAAATGTCTAACTTTTGGAGCTTTGGAAGGTAACGCATGTTACTGTGTTTTCAGTTGCACAGAGTACAGATCATGGCAACTGAAACGCCCTTTAGGATAGCATCAAACCAGATGCCCTGTTTCGATTTAAACCTTTGAAGCCATTCTGAACAAATTCTATTGTGATCTTAAAAAAACAACACAAAAAAGCCAAACCTATTTTTAAAAAATAAGTAATTGGCAAGATCCCCATAAGCAAAGCGAAACAGAATTTAAGCAATTGTGTGTAAAATTCAGTCCAGAAAATAAAACCTCTGCTGCCTAAATAAACCAGTGAAGGCCTTTCCAGAACTTTCTAGATGATCTGTGGAACATTAAGTTGCATATAGTCCATGACTTACTAAGATTCGTTTAGTATGTAAGTAACTAAACATTCTTTCCTTTACTTCATGATTCCAACATTACCGTTAGGAGTTTGCCATGAGGCTGGATCAAATAAGCTGACACAGAGCCAGTTTCTAAACTGTTATTGGGTACTTTATGATAGAATGACTGCCTTGTTTAGCTATGTCAGAGAAATATAATAGTTGAATCGCTAATATAAATTTTGAACCAGTGCCTCTGGTTACTTTTATGTAGATCAGGGATCAGCAACTAACTTCTGGCCTAGGGCATGTTTTTTGTAAATAAAGGTTTATTGAAAATGCAGCCACGCCCATTCATTTACATATTGCCTATGGCTGCTTTTGAGCTAAGATGCCAGTTGAGCAGTTTTGACAGAGACAGTATGGCCCACAAAGCCTAAAATATTTAGTATCTTGTTCTTTACAGAAAAAGTTTGCTGACCCTTGCTGTAGATGATAAAAAATACCACTGGAAAAGAGGGAGAAGACTGAGATACTCCTGATTTATAACTAACGCCAGCTTCTGGGGGCTCTGATGTTGGGGTGTTAGCTGTTTAGCTGTTTATACTGAGGAATAAGGGAATGACAAGGAAAGGGAATAAGCTAGAGAGCGAAGTGGCAGCAATTGATACTTGACTCATTACAATTTGCAAAATATTGTCATATACATTATGTTATTTGATTTGATTTTCAAGTCACAAAAATTTTAATTCAGGTTCATTTTCAGGTAGATAAATTGAGGCTCATAAGTCATTTGTCCAGGGTTCTGCATCTACTGAGTGCTAGAATTGAACCCAAAATCAGACTGAAATCCAAATCTGTCCATCCTGCACAATTCCTAAGCACAAACACCCTGTGCCTTTTCTCATTTTCCTTTCTTCTTACTCCCCAGTTTTTAAAATTAAAAGATGCCAAGGAATACTTGCTTCCAGTTTTCAATATGCCTTAATGAGTGTTATTATCTGTATAATAAGTTGATGTTACTAACCCACAAACAGAATGTAAATTTTTTTCAGTTAGTTTATAATTGTGGTGGCACATTTGACCCAAACTTTCCCTTCTCTAAGGAGCTCTGGTGGCACAGTGGTTACGCGCTCGGCTGCTTACTATAAGGCTGGCGGTTCGAACCTACCAGCCACTCCTTGGGAGAAAGAAAGACCTGCTTCCGTAGAGATTTACAGCCTTGGAAACCCTATGGGGGAAGTTCTACTCTATACTATAGGGTCGCTAAGAGTCGGAATTGACTAGATGGCAATGGGTGTGTTTTTTTGGTCTCCTTCCTCTTCCTCAATATGCAAGATACTGGGAATGTAAACTGTGGCAATGGAATAGTACATAGCGAACTCATCTATAAAGAGATAAAACTCAAGGCTTTGGATGCATGAGCACAATATTCTGAGACCTTTCATTTGTATAGCACTTTATGGTTTGCAAAGTGTTTTCAATGACTGTATGTTCTCTAATCTTCACCTACCCCTGTAGCAGATGCTGTTGGTGTCCCACCAATATTTGTCTGCAGTTATGTTCCCTTGCAGGTACACAGCTTTTTACTGCAAGCACCTACAACTCTTTATGTGAAGGTGTTCTCTGGCTAAAGCCTGCTTGGCCCAAGCAGGGCAGGTCAGAATACTGGGAAGTTATTTCTCTGGGAGAGTCCTCAACCAATGATGAACAGAAGGTGGGGAGGATACCTCAGTTTCTTTGCCAGTGGGTGGGACCGTTAAGTGATCGAATTGGACATTGAATTCAGACAAGAATCCAGGTTCTATACAGTCTTGCAGACGGTCCAAGTGGGATGGAGGTCCAGTTGCCACAGTGGTGCCCTTCCCTGCCTTCATGACAGGCCAGGATCGCCAGGAAATTAACACCACTCCTGGGAGCAGCCCTCAATCAATGTCAGGTGAGAGTTGGTGAAAAAATACCCCAGCTCCCCTGCCCCTCCAGTAGGATAATTCTGAGGTATGTTCTACACTGTCTCCCAGAGTTCCACAGTGGGATTGAGCTCCAGTTGCCCACAGTGGAAACTTGCTTGATAATGCACCCTTTATTGGCTCCTTCTCTTCTCTGTCTCACTTCCTCACTCCCCTACCACTGTTTCCTGGGATCACCTCCCACATAACCTCTTGCATGTAAATTCTTGTCTCTGGTCTGCTCCTTGGGGAACCCAGCCCAAGACAGCACCTTAAAGAGGAGTGTTATTCCAGCTTTACGTGTGAAAGCAATGAAGTGCCACAAGACTAAGTGATTTGCCCAAGGCGGTCCACAAGTGCAAGAGTTGGGGCGGCCACCCGAGTCTTCTGATTGGGACTGAGCTCTCCAGAACATCTTACCCAAGGATTCTTGAAATCACAGAGTCACATGATCATGTGCAGAATGTTAAACTCTCCGTGATTCACTAAGGATCATGGAAGAAAACATAAGAAATATTCCTTCAGGGGAAGAGCCGAGTCCTTCTGGGGAGCCAGAGAGGACTGAAGTCATTCATTAATGTCATGTAGCAAATGGAAATGAAAGCAGAGCTGGGGCGGAACTTGTGAGCACCTGGAGAGCACCACTTATCCCCTGAGCTTTTATGAAACATTTTCTTCCTAACCAGGAAAACAGCCAATAAAATGGTTAATGGAGAGGGAAAAAAAAAGAACACTTAGGAGAAATATGGAGGAAAACAGGAAGCCTGTAGGAGCTGCGTCGTGGGTGCAGCACTGGCCTTTGGAGAGGTTTTAGTAGAAGCTTTTCTGATCAAATTTGGAGAAATGGACTAGAGAAGGTGCTTGCTTCATCATAGAGATTGTCCTATAAACCAAAGGGATAGAATTGGAGAATGTTCTCTCAAGGGAAGCACAAAAGCAAATCAAATTAGCACAATATTAGGACATTATAGTGGCAAGTAAAAGAAAGTTTGAGAAGGAAAGAGAAGATCAAGACATTTGTACTTATACACGTAAAAGGGATAAATATCTAAGTAGGCTTTTCCCTGATGTCTGTGCAGAGATGCCACGTATAAGGGACAAGGCTAAATGAAATTGGAGGGAGTTAGGGATTATGGCCACGAAATTCCAGATTATGTGGCTTTGGTAGACTGATCACACAAATGGTCCCAGTTTTTGTACCTCTCTCTGTAACAGTGCTTTTTGTAGCATGACTTTGCAGTTCCTTCCTTACCCCTTAAGTCTGGGCTGGCCTCAGAAGGCCCTGTGTGCCTCTACTCTCTTTTTTGGAATCCTGCCTGTGATAGTTAATGTTATGTGTCAACTTGGCTAGGCTGTGATTCTCAGTGGTTTGGCAGACACTGGACTGGGTGCTCTTCCATAATGTAATGTAATCACCTCCTATGATGTGATCTGATGTGGTCAGTCAATCTGTTGAAAGGGGAGTTTCCTTGGGGGTGTGGCCTGCCTCCAGTATATAAATGGATGTTCTGGCAAAGCTCTCTCTCGACCCTGCCCTCTTCTCATTGCCTGACTTCTGGTTCTTGGTATGAAAGCCTGCAGAAGTCTCCAGCCTGCTGCCTGACCAGCCTATTTTGGATTCACCAGGCCCTGCAACACCGTGAGCCAGCAGAGATCTCCAGCCTGCCACCTGACCTGCGGATTTGGGACTTGCCAGCCCCCACAATTGCATGAGCCATTTCTTTGAAGTAAATCTCTCTCTATTTGTATGTATGCCTCACTGGTTTTGCTCTTCCAGAGAACCCAGACTAAGACACTGCCACTGCCCATGAGAATAAGCCTGGGCTAGCCTGCTGGAGGATGAGAAACCACATAGATCACAGCTGAGTCAGCCCAGTTGCCCCAGTCTCAGGCACGTGAGACAGTGCAGCTCAGCTCAGCAAAGTCACTGAGCAGACCCACAGCAGACTGCAGACTCATAGGTGAGATCCCTTGCCCCTACCCCAGCTCAAGTCAGCAGAACTGCCCAGTGATCCATAGACCAATGAGCAAAAATTAGTACTTATTGCTGTGGGCCGCTGAGGGCTTGTTGTTACCTGTCACGCAGAATTATTGTGGCAATAGGTAACTGATACAGGCACCGTGGGCCATAGTTTAGTACACAATGATTTTCAGGTTGTGGACCCTCTGACATTGGAATTGAAGCAAATGAGTCATTTTCTCCCATCTCCACACATACGGTCTGCTTCACCCCTTCACCCTAGGTGAGAGGGTAGGGGTGGTAAAGAGAAAAAAATAGCCTTACTATATTGTAATCATTGGTATTTGTCATGGATTGAATTGTGTCCCCCCAGAAATACTGTCAACTTGGCTGGGTCATGAGTCCCAGTATTGTATGATTGTGTACCATTTTGTAATCTGATGTGATTTCCTTATGTGTTGTAAAGTCTATCTCTATGATGTAATAAGATGGATTAGCAGCAGTTATACTGATGAGGTCTACAAGATTAGATAGTATCTTAAGCCAATCTCTTTTGAGATATAAAAGAGAGAAGTGAGCAGAGACACATGGGAACCTCATACCACCAAGAAAGCAGTGCCAGGAGCAGAGCTCGTCCTTTGGACCTGAGGTTCCTGCGCTGAGATGCTCCCAGACCAAGGAAAGACTAATGCATCACAAGGACCTTCCTCCAGAACCGACAGGGAGAGAGCCTTCTCCTGGAGCTGATGCCCTGAATTTGGACTTATAGCCTACTAGACTGTGAGAAAATAAATTTCTTTGTGGTATTTCTGTTACAGCAGCACTAGATGACTAAGACAGTATTAGTCACACAAAGACCTACAGTTTTAATATTGTCACTGTGTGTCATGATGCCACAAGTTTTCCCTTGGGTGTTTATCAATGAATCAGTGATTCATAAACAGTCATCTCATCCTATGAAGAAATGAACACAACCCGGACAGCATGAAACAACATATACTTAGGGAAAGCGTTGTTTACCTGTGTGTTCCAGTTTGGACGTTAGAGTTTTTCTTTGGACCAGAACAAGACCAAATTCACCTGCTCAATTAACCTTAGGGGCTAATAAAGAACCTACAGTTAGTTCCAAAGAAACCAAAAACGCCATATGTTTAAGAAGGCATGCAGGCCTACCCTACAAAAATTAAGGAGTTAATGTTTTATTTTATGGATGTCAGTCTGCCCATCACTGGTGATGTCAAGATCAAGCATTTGGTTTAGGCAGCGTCTGTCAGTTTCTCCATTATAAGAGTACCATTTCCCTTTTGCAATTAATAAGTAATCTGTGGGTGAGATTTTGAGATACTTTAAGACTTTATGACTGTCTTATTCCACAACAGTCTTTCATCCAATGACTTTAGCACCCATTGAGGCTTCTAGCCTGAATCAATTATTATTATGGTGGTTTTAATATGGTAGGGCACTTTTTTCTAACTCATGCAAAAGTGCTATAAAAAAAAATGCTATAGGACTGACCCCAAGTTAATTGCACTTTGAGGCAACCCAGTTTCCTACCACGGACAATTGAAGTTTACCTCCATAAGTACGTTTCTTTGATTAAACTGTTAAAAAAAACCATAATAATTTCAATCTCTCAACATCCCTACTATAAACTTTGTGATGTATGTAGGGCAAAATGAGACTCAAGGAGTCTAAAGATTACCTCCATCCCAATCCTTGTTCCAAGGTCTAAAGATGGTATTTTGAATTATGAGAGGCGCAAGAGTGGAAGACTGAGTATTTATTGAGAGTCTGTGACTCTATATAGGTGTTAGATCACTCTAGAAAAATGAGCTTTTGGCCTATGGCTCCATTGAGAGTTTATATGAAGAAAAAACAAGCAGTCAAACAACCCCTTCCCCAGCAATACTGATGCTTATTTATTTAATTTTGTAGTGGTGTAGCTTACTTTGAAAAACTGGGACCTATCTAAATGATTCAAGAATGTTAGGGAAATTCTAGTGCTGGACACATGAGTTTATTATATAGCCATTGTGACATGGAAAAATAGATTATAATATTATAGTATTATATATATAAAAAAACCCATTGCTGTTGAATCGATTCCGACTCACAGTGACCCTATAGGACAGCATAGAACTGCCCCATAGGGTTTCCAAGGAGCGGCTGGTGGATTCGAACTGCTGACCTTTTGGTTAGCAGCTGAGCTCTTGCTTATGATATACTATTAAGTGAAAACAGGAGAATGTAAAGTTTTAGTTAGGGTATGATTATAACTACCTAATATTATGTATACTAATAGAGAACATGTGAAAAAGCATTTGAAAAAAATAAAAAGATTTGTCTTTGAGAGCGTGGTATGATTAGAGATGATTTCTTTCTAAATTTTATCTTGTGATAATATCTGGGTAATGAAATGTAAAAAGAATGACATTTAAATAATAATTGTGAAGATTATATGACAACATGGCAAATATCTAAGATGTAATGGTATGTGGAAAAATTCTGATATAAAATTGTAGGTGCATTATGTTCGTTGTTGTTGTTGTTGTTGCTAGTTGCCATCGAGTCAATTCCAACTTATAGCGACCCCATGTGTGCAGAGAACTGCTCCATAGGGTTTTCAAGGCTATGCCCTTTCAGAAGCAGATCACCAGGCCTGTCTTCTGGGGCACCTCTGGGTAGGTTCAAACCACTAACCTTTCAGCTAGTAGTTGAGTGCTTAACTGTTTGTGCCACCCAGGAATCCTGCATTCCAACTGTAAAAATGATGGATATGTTCGGTTGAGCCATTGCAGATATTTTACCTTTTTTGACCTATAAAAATGCAATTTTATATGGTTCAACTTAATAGCTAGACCAAAAATGGTAGTGAATATGCCAAAAAAAGCTTTTAGGAAACTGGAATTCTAGGTAAATTTTTTTCTTGTGAAATTTATTTTAATGCTATGGTATTATCTTTTCAATAAATAAAAATGGGAGGTGGAAAAAGAAAAGAGCTTTCTAGCCCACTTGACCTCCCCCCACAACTTGGAAGGAGCCGTGAATCATCAATTTTATTGGCCTCATGGTAAATCTGCCTCCTTTCCTCACCCCTCCGCTGCACCCTGGGCTAAGTCCACCACCACCGCTACCACCAGTTGTCGTGGAGTTGACCCTGACTCCTGGTGACCCCATGTGTATTAGAGTAGAACTGTGCTCCATAGGGTTTTCAATGGCTGCTTTTTTGGAAGTAGATTACCAGGCCTTTCTTCTAAGGCACCTCTGGGTGGACTCAAACCTCCAACCTTTTGGTTAGCAATTGAGTGAGTTAACCATTTGCACCACCCAGGGAAGGGATTCTGGGCTCAGTCCAGTGCCAGGTAAATAGTCCTAAGGCAGGTGTCAGGTGGGCAGGCATTGAGAAAAGAGCTGGTACTTCCCGATGGGGTCTGTGGTTAGGACACCTGCCCCGCCCCCCAGGGGATGCATAGCTTTTTCCCACACGCCAGGCAAAGTGGGGTTAATAGACTTGGAAGGGTGTTTCTGTGGTCTTCCCCCCCCCCCCGCAGACAAAGCCGCCATTCTCAGACCCGTGTGTGGAATAATGAAAACAGTCCACACAGAGCTCACCTCTCAAAGTAACCCCCTCCCCAGACTGATGGAGAAGGGAAGGCCCCTGGGGTGGTTCAAGAATCCATGAATCTGGGGGAGCCCTTCACCCTCCAGCTCATCTTCTCTGTACAGCTTGAAACCAGAGGGAATGGCCAAAGCAACTGTTTATAGATTCTGACATGGATCTTTTGTCACTGCCATGCTAACAGAGAGGGTGCTTAGATTTTATACTTAAAAAAAGTAATCAATCTGTACATGTGTGTTTAATACGATTCTATAAGTAGATTTGCCTCACAAGAAACAAGTTTTCTTTTATAGTAATCAAATTAAACGGAATACAATAAATATTCCCTGAGAATTGTCCAAAAAAAGAAAAAAGAGCTGTTTTCACCCTAGCTGTAGTTTGGGAAACATTAAAAAGAATTCGGGAAAATTGATGCTGGGTGTATGGTTTTAAAACTTCTGACTTCTCACCAGGTTTTAAAAATATGCTTTCGACTTCTGGGTAACATGGCACTATAGACAGAGGCACCATGTCGTCCCTCCACAGCAAAGATACGAAAAACTAAGTCAAACAGAGACAAACGTCAGTCCTGAAACCTTAAGCATCAAATGAAGAGATAAAGAACTCAGCCAAGCACCAAATGGAATAAGAAACTGACCGAGAACAGAGAGTGAGGAGAGATACATGCAGAGGTCCCCATCAGCTAACGCAGCATGGATCTGCCATCTTGGACTCCTGTCAGAGATCAGCAAACAGGGAGTACGGGAAAACAGCTTCATGGAGCTGCCAGCAGGAGACAGTACAACCAGTAACCAGAGATATATACTTTCCCACCCTACATCCTTCTTCACCCCCACTCGGCCTCCTCTGCTTCCTGTGGCCACAGTCTCTTGGATGGGAAGCACCGGCTTAACCCCTGTGCCGCTTGGATTCCACCTGCCTGCACTGGCCGGCTCCCTGAGTGCCATTTGTTGGTTGCTGGTGTTGCTTTGTTCCGCTTCTTTTGGTTTCTTCCATACCTCTCACCACATCCCCCTCCTTTCTCTCAAATACCTCACTCCATGTGCCATCTTTGCTTCTTCCTGAAAGAATGTGAAACACTGCTCAACTGTGGAACTGTTCCCGGCCTGTGCTGCCACGCTGGTGGGATCCCTGAGGCTTTTGTTTGTTTGTTTGTTTTGATTTCTTCTGTTTTGATTTGTTTGTTTGTTTTCTTTTTATTTTGTCGGCTGAGGAGCCCCTTCTAGCTGGACAGTACCGAACGGCTTGGGAGCTACTCCCGCAGTCTGCACAGCTGCGCAGTGGTATCCCTGGGGCCATTTCTTTTTTCATGTCTTTTTTTTGGGGTGTTGTTTTTCTTTTTCTTTTGTTTTCTCTCTTTTTCACTTTTGGTCTTTCTTCATTTCTCAGTATCTCGTCTCTCTATACTTACCTTCTCTTCCTGTCTCCTGAATACCTGGTGATGTGTGACAACTCTACCCCTTCTAGCCAAGCTGTACTTCACGGCCTGGGAGCAACTTCCCCAGTCCTTGCAGCCGCACCAGTGGGATCCCTGGGGGATTTTCTTTTTTTTTCAATAATTTTTATTTGTTCATTTTTTTCTTTTTGTTTTTCTCCATTTCTCAGTCTCTCATCTCTCCACTCCAATGGCAAGCTCCCTTAGCACTCTTTTTTGTTTGTTTGTTTCTATGTTTTTGGCCCCTGTTCCTCTCTCCTCTTTCCCACACCCATCTTACCTCCCCACTTCGCAATCTCCCCACCCTTCCTGCCTACCTGCACCGTGCGCTGAACATCACACCCCCGAGCAGCACAGGCACAGCCTACCAGAACCTGCCCTGCACTGATTCCCAGCCCACCCTGTTGTCCCTAATACATGCCACAAACAGCCCATCCCAGCAACTCCCCTTCAGCTGGACCTGCCCTGCTGTACCATAGCTGAGCGACTGACCCTGCCCATTGGAGAAAGAGGTGAAAAACATCGTGCCTACAGACGAGCAAACAACAAAGAACACACAGCCCACCTGCTCACACATAACCAAATAAAACAAAAAAGCAGGACAAAACAAACAAATCTATAGTCAATAAACAAGGAAAATAACTACCGAACATCCCAAAGACAGCAGACAGTATCAAAACATAAAAAAAAGGACAGCATGGTTCCAGTAGGTGTCCAAAATAAAACACTAGATGATTTTCCAGTAGAAGAAAAGGCACTAGAACTACCTAATAGGGAATTCAGATCTCTAATATCCAGAGCTATCCAAGAGTTGAAGCAAAAAGCAGACAAAAATGAGGAAAAAAATAGACAAATTCATGGAAAAGGCAAACAAATTCATGGAAAATACAGACCAAAAAAGGAAGAATTCAGGAAAATAATACAGGAACAAAATGCCAAAATAAATTCACAACTAGAAATCATACAAAAAGAACAATTACAAATCCAAAAGGTAAACAACAAGATTTCAGAAATGGATACTGTCACAGAAGGGCTGAGGAGCAGGTT